CACAAATACTCTACAACTGAGCTCTATATTCCCAGTGTCTCTCACTTTTGAGACAGGGTCTTACTAAGTTGTTGAGGCCGCAAACTTGTGATTGCCCTGTCTCAGCTTCCTAAATAGCTGGAATTACAGATGTGCATCACCATATCCAACTTGTTCTTAACAGTTAATTTCTAAGTTCTCTGATGTGTCATTTCTGCTTATGATGTCAACTGTGAGTTTAATTTTTTTCCCTAGAAGGCTAGACAATTGACATAATGCAGTCTGTTGAAAAATCTAGAATACTTTTACTAAGTTTATATGCCCCCTTTATTTTAAGCTATATTTCAATGTTTTTGGGTTATCCTTCTATCTTTTCTGAGTAATGTGTTCCAAAGTAATGTCTATATCTATGTCAAAACATACTGTTTAATTGCTTTATATTATGTTCTGATAATTAGTAAATCAAGTCTCATTTATTACTTTTTTAAAAAATTAACTTGCTAATCACTGCTGTTTTTTTCACATGTATTTGAGAACCAACTTGTCAATGTCTATAATGCTGAATCTTCCTATTTAAAAATATAGAACAGAATTTCATGTATACAGGTTTTTAAATACCCTTTCATGAAAATCTTGCATGTTTCCTATTTCTACATAAAAATATATTTTGTTGCTATTATGAATTATAATATCTTTTTATTTTGTTTTGTAGTTCATCATTGCTAAAGTTAAAAAAAACCTGCTGGTTTTTATTGTCTTTTGAATCTGATTACCTTATAATGTTAAAATATATTCTTAAATTTAAAAAACGTATCACTTAAAAGATAGCTGCATTAAATGAAAAGCAATCTAAAAGATTAACACTCTAAGAAACTCAACACTATTATCAGTCATAGTCCATTTGGTTAGTGAATTAAATTAGTATTTATTTCATACTTTAGTATAAAGCTTAAACATTAAGAGTTTGAATGGAAAATGGCCCATGTTCCAAAAAAGCATGGGAAACTTTATATATAAAACTTGGCTATCATTTAATTCCAAAAAAGCATGGGAAACTTTATATATAAAACTTGGCTATCATTTAATTTAAGGGGATTAATAAGAGCTATCAAATAATTTTTCAAATAACTTCATCAAATCCAACAATATCATCTTTAGGAAAAACAACAAAAACAAAAAACCCCACCATACCAGAATAGTTGTTATATGACTGTTACATTTATGGGAATAAATAAAAGAAGAGCAGGAAAAAAAAATGGATCAAGAAGAGCTTCATTTTATTATATATTTAGCAATATGTTGCACTTAGGTACCATGCCCGTACTATTTGTCCGATTTAGTCAAGTCCAAGAGCTTTAATTTAAAAATAAAAGAGACATCTTCCTAAATGGAAGCCAGTGACTTGCACACTTCAGGTGTGATCCGAGAATACGAAGCTAAAAGCAAAGTAATTTAGTTTACATTTCATGTAGATAGTTTTGGACAGATATTTTGAATGTATAGGTCTAGGTCTACCCACTTTCAAAACATGTTGAATGACATTCAGACTACACACAGTAATATTTACAATGTAGGAAAAGAAACTATATGTACATGCTAAATAATTTACTTGGATATAAATAATAACTGGATATAGTTTAACTTAGTACTAATTAATGCATTCAAGAAATATTTACTAAGGATCTAGGATATGACAGGTAATGTCCCAGATGCTGAGGTTTTGGAATAAACTAAATAAAATTCATATCATCATGGAAATTTCATTTTATTCTAGCATGCTAGTTACTTTAAAGTTAACTTCTAGAAGGAATTCAATTTTGAAATAGTTCTAAAGTAAAGAACACATAAAACTAGTTAAAAGTTCACTTTTGGACTAGGACATTTCTCCCCTATTCTATGTTTAACACTTTAAGAGCATTTTCTACTAGCTTCTAATTACATGAGACTGTATGAGATGTATTTAGATGAGGTAAAAAGCTTTCTCCATTCCCAAAGAAGGTCTAATGTCACTGGCATTTCTATAATCTGTGTATTATTAAGTACTAAGAGAACTAATCATTAAAAAGGAGAAAAATAATAATATAGTAGTTCATATAAAAGAAAAATAATAATTCAAATAAAACATATTCTAATCCTAGGCTACTAAACATCAGAGAATGGAAAGTTCTCTCTTTCTTTTTTTCTTTTGCATAATCCTGGGGATCAAACCCAGTGCCTAGCACATACCAGCAAGCCCTCTTCCACTGAACTACATTTATCAGCCCATTTTTTTCTACTTAATATTTTTTTAAATGAGATGCTTTTCACATAGAACAGCTTTCATATCATTAATTTCTTCTTGAAAGGTACAGACATTTCTTCAAATGTTCATAACACAGAACTAAAAGATATGCTATTTAATTTCACTAAGCTTCATTGTCCCTACCTGTTAACATAATAGTAAGAGTACCTACCTCTTATTATTGTTTTGGAATTGAATGAGGTAAGGCATATAAAAGGCTAAGCACTCAATCATAATTGATAATATCAATTATCACTGTTATTCCAGGTATTAATAGTCTCAAATACAGTTTATATTTATCATTAACACCATCCCAAGTTGGAAAACTCAATAAATGCTGGGTGTGGTGGCTCGTGCCTATAATTCCAGTGGCTCGGGAGGCTGAGATAGCAGGATTGCAAATTCAAAGCCAGCCTCAGCAACTTAGTGAAGCCCTAAGCAACTGTCTCTACATAAAATTTTTTTTAAAGGGCTAGAGATGTGGCTCAGTGGTTAAGTGCCCCTGGGTTCAGTCCCTGGTACCACCCCCCCCCCCAAAATAAAACATAACCCAAAAAACTAACTCAATAAACAAACTTCAATAGGATAGTCAAAAAATATATGGTTTGAAGAGAGGATATATGGTTTGCAAGAGAGGATCAACATGGGATATACCTCAATCTAAACAATGGATTTTCAAGAATCAGTAATAAAATGCTACCAATATCCAGAATTTCTACTAAAAATGACTTTATCTGGGAAAATTTCAAAAAACCAAAGTTTCATTAACAAGATGCTTCATCAATATTTATCACAATTCCAAAGACCTAGAAGTATTTTCTGTCTTTAAAAACTTATTTCGTGCCTTTTATTTCAAAGTAAACTTAAGAGTAGAATTCAAAATACAAACAACAAACCAGTAAATGGAGATAAGACCATTAAAAATTAAGATTTTATTTAAAAGATATTATCTCTACCTCCAATCTGGACAAACCATATTGGACTCTCAAATGATTCTATTTGGTGGCGGTGGAGGGTGGGGTGAGGGAGTGGGAGGACAACAAAAACTCAAGTAAAAGGCTGGGGATGTGACCCAGTGGTAGAGTGCTTCCCATAAATAAATGAACAAAACCCCCAGTAAAAGAAAAACTTACATTTTAACTTAATCTGAAAAGTGATGATGGACTACAAATGAAGGAATTAACAAATTTAAGACCTGAAGTAAAGCAAAAACACTAATAAGAATCTTCAATTTAAAAACTCTGCAATTTTTCAAAGGATCTTGAAGAAAACCCAAATGGAGAGGTCACTAAATATCCAAGAACACTCACCCAACCATTGGTAGAAGACCTCTTGGAGACCCAGATGCTTGAATCAGCTGAAATAGTACCAAGTTTTTACTGATTACTCTTAATAGGGCAATGGAGCACAGGCTAACTCCATATTATCAAAAATTAAAGGTTATTATTATTAATTCCAGTTACTACCATTACAAAAAACTCCAAGGAAAAGGACAATGAGTAATAAATTCCAAGGTTAATAAAATTTATGTGTGCATATGTGCAAATGTGTATATTCCCTCCAGTTCCCTTAGTGCTGTAAGTCTGATTACTAAGTCTCGTAAGTACACTGGCAGAAAAAAAAATTTTTCTAAATTAATATTATAAAATTCTTAAAGAATTTAAGAATGTATTTTTAACATTGGTTCATATAGAAAATTTTGAAAAAAGAATCTGCTTTTTTAATGATAATGCAAATTCCTCCACACTTAAGCACTTCAGTAACACAGAAAAAGGTTTTAAACCAATGCAATTCTTTAGGCCTTTGAGTTACACTAAAGATTGTTCTAATCAGAGGAATCTCATATTTCAACACATAAAGGAACTCAGTAACACGATAAAAGACCCTCAAAGTTGAAGACTATTTTCAACATTATTGATTAAAACATGAAAGTTATCAATTAATAGAAAATATCTAATGGTATCTAATTCTAGCAAGAAATTAAAAAGAATCAACACTCCAGGTTGAGAAGATAGTTATGTATTTATCTCTAGAAGCTGAGGGACAGAATTAATCACACCCACCAAAAAAAGCACCATAACTTTATTCCAAAGTTCTATACATTAAGATTTAAAACAAAATTTAAAAAACATTCTTCTACTAAGGGAATGGCCAAGAACAAAAACTGGAAGATTCTAATTTTCCCAAGTAACTAAAATATAAAAACTACTTACTGCTCGACATATGCGGGACAAGTAATGAACAACTAAAGAATACTCACTTTGTTTGAACAGTTTAAACAAACAAGTAAAAAAGAATATATTTTTAACGTCAAGTAAGCATATTCAAGTTAACAAATAAATACTGAAATAGGATGCCAGCAAATACACTCCAACCTAGCTGTTAAATGACTGAACTGTTACATATTAGGGATAAGCTTGCAATATAATATATGTATAATTTATTGAACATCCAAACTAAGGAAAACCAAAAGCATAAAAAAAGTGTTTTTAAAAGGTTCCTCTAACAGAGAAGAATGTATGATAAAGTCAGGAAGAGATGTGAGAATACCAGAAAGAAATGCTTAATATAAGATTAGCACTAAGAAAGATTAAGAATCCTATTATCCCTAAAAATATAAAGAAAAAGGGTAAAGAAATGATTTAGAGAACAGCAATTGACATAAAAAACGACTGTGAGAAGAATTCAAACATTTTAGAATTCTATTGAAAATTTAAATGACAAAATATACCAATATTACCTTTCTTTCGAAAGAGTGCATTTAGGTAATTTTCTGCTTGGCATTCAATCTTATCAGTGTTGGACTGGCCCTGAGATGATAGCTCCTCCGTTGGTGTTGACTGTGAAGAATCAAGAGATGGTATACAATCCTAAGATTACAAGAAAAACAACATACTAAATTACTTTTATTAAAACATTGAATTCCATTAAAAATGACAAAAAATTTCTCTAAATGTTAATTTGTTCTAATTTATGCATATTAACTTATATAAAAAAAAACATAAAAAATTCAGGTCACGAGTTAGGAAAAAGGAAATTTATCTGATAGAGGGCCCAAACAGCTATTCCTTAGCAAAACTAAATAAAAAAAAAAGAGAGAGCAGACAAAATAGAAAATGTTACTAAATAAATTAACTATATGGCATACTAGCAAGCTAATTCAAAGAGGTGATTTTTTTTCTTTCTATTTAAAACAACACAGCAGATATGTTTACCCACTAATCTGAACAAAGTCAGTACAAATTTTCTTCTGAGTCCTTCTCATAAAAATAGATAGGAGTCATGATTTCTACCATCCAAGAAGAAGTAGATTGTATGGTTTATGTTCTGGATATAGCAGACACTGACATATTTCAACATTTACCCAGGAAATATTTATGACAGCCAAAAGACTTCAGAAGTGAGTGAAAGGCTAAAAGATAGTAGCAGCATATCATCCCCTAACTATTGATTCCTAAAAAAAATTATCCTGTAGGGTGACTGTAGGGTGGCCTCAGACCCAACTAGGCTTTCATGCTTATCCTTCTATAACTAACTAACAAAATGACCTGAAGTGAATTTCTTGGGTCAGAGAATAATAAGGGTAAAAAATGTGAAATAAGTCAAAGATAAATTTTCTAGGATTTTTCACCTGCAAAGCTAAACTAAATATTGGACTTTCAACATACGACTTTAAAATATTCTTTTCATTTAGTAAAACTGTTTTATAACTTTTACCACGTAACAATTTTTCAGAAGAAATTAAGTTAAAAGAAAAAGAAGCATGTTATAATTGTGTAATTAATTTACAAATAATTTATGGCACTATAACTTACACTGACTGCTTCTCTCTGTAGGTTACAAAATGAGCATTTTTCATCCATAGACCAGTCAGTCAGCTCTTCTGGTTCACAGTCTTTAAAAGAGGAAAAATATTCATTAAAATACATTAACCTTATTAAAATCAATAAAATTACCACTCTCCACAGCAATGGCAAGAAAAAAAGACAAGAAAAATTTAAAAATAAACAAGAAACATAAAAACCTAACTAGTAATACTTAAGGGAGAAGGCCTAACTTCAAAATTGAACTATGATATCTAGAAAGAAATAATCAGAGGCCAGAAAGAGAATAATTTTACACTTTTTTTAATATTTATTTTTTAGTTATAGTTGTACACAATACCTTTATTTTATTTATTCATCTTTTTGCTAAGGTTCAAACCCAAAGGCCTTGCATGTGCTAGGAAAGTGCTCTACCACGAATCACAACCCCAGCCCTAATTTTACACTCTTTAAAAACAAAATAGCAAGAACAGTGAGTTGTGTCATAAATTAACAAATTTCCTACAATAGGGTTTTTTTGGGGGGATGGGTACCAGGGATTCAACCCAGGGGCGCTTAACCACTGAGCCACATCCCCAGCCTTTCTTTATATTTTAATTACAAACAAAGTCTCACTGAGTCGCTAAGTGCCTCCATAATTTGCTGAGGCTAGCTTTGAACTTCTGATCTTCCTGCCTTAGCCTCCCAAATTGCTGAGATTACAGAGGTGAGCCACCATGCTGGCTCATACAATAGGGTTTTAAGTATCACAGAACATTTTCAAAGACTCAATTTATCACTGTTCATTAATTTTACTTTTATTGGGCTGGGGTTGTGGCTCAGCATTCAAGGCCCTGGGTTCGATCCTCAGCACCACATGAAAATAAAGAAAAATAAAAGTATTGTGTCCAACTATTTAATTTTTTTTTTAACTTTTATTTTCCCTAAGAAAGAAACCAGAACAAAAATGAAGACATGGGGAAGAAAGGAATAGATTTTGTGCAACATACAATAGAGAAATAGAAGAAAGTCAAAGTTTACAGATTTGAGACAATGAAATGATGCCTAAAAAAACAAGTACCAAGCCACAGCTCAAAAATCACATCAGATATCTGTGATATTTTTGAAGACTTTATTATAAGATAGTAAAAAAAAATCAGTTAAACAAATAAGGCATATTATTCAATACAAAATGTGTTTTTTCAGAAGGCTACTCCTTATAATCCAATGGTTGAACCGCTGGTTGAAATATATTAAAAGTTTATGAAAAACAAAGATATTTTCTACTCAAGAAATTTGATGAAAGTATAATACCACTCTAACTATATTTAGTAGAGACACTGATTTTCAAAATTAACCTTGCAGTAGACTAGCCCTCCATTTTTTCCCCAAATAAATTCAACAAAATTTTTATTGCCTGAGGCAGTTACGTGGCAACTAATCTGAAAAACCTTGATATGCTACAGAAATTTCTCATTGTTTTGAGTACACTATGATACTGAATAAAGTATAGAGAAATAAATTACTTTTTTGAGAATGATAATGAATAAATACTAGTAAGAATCGGCCCCTTTTACCCTGTCCCCAACACCAACCCAAATACAGAAATAGAAGATAATAGGTTGGAAGTAGTATAGAGTAGTAATCTCTCCCTTTGATTTCCACAGTGGTCAACAAATAGTAATATTTACATAAATGTGGAAAAGGTAGGAAATGGTTATGGTCCAGGATAATGTAATAAAAAAAGATAGCTAGATTTGAAGTCTCTGAAAATCTAGGATGAAAACACTTTTATAAATAGTTGCAACCTTTTTAAACCACAAAAGTATTTTGTTTTAATTGCCTTGTGTGTAAAATGAGAAAATGTGTAAAATCACCTAACTCATTTGTGAATCAATTGAAGAAAAGTATGAAAATGTTATCAAGTATAAAACATCACACAAAGGCTAGTCTTTAACAACTTTAAGACAATCGTCAATTGAAGGAAAAAACATGCAGAGAATATATCATTTATTTTTAGGTTTTTTTTTTTAAATAGGACTACTTCAAGGTAACACTAATTAAAACAAATACCTACACAGTTAAATAAAGTGGCACTGAATAATCAACTGACTAAATAAAAGCCATTAAAATTTGCAAAATTCAAAAATTTACAGGATTACTTACAAATATTTAATAATTACTCTTTGATAGTAATTTTTTATTTTCAGCCCAAATAAATGGTGATGAGATACATTTTTTCTATATGGGAAAGTAGATTTGAAAAATCAACTATAGACCAGATTGTTCCTCTCCTAAGACTATCTTCTCATGTCATTAAAAATAAAATACATATTAATTATATCTCAGAGACTGACAGTAAATCAGATATTTCTAATATAAGTTAACTTCCATTTTGAAATGTTAATACATGTAGGCATAAGCTCAAAAGATATTAAACAATGTACTTTATTAAAAAGGAATGACGGTAAATGACTGACAAAGATCAATCTTTCCATCTTTCCTTATAACTGGGTATGCCTCAAATCAATTAATAGTCCATCTCCAATCATATTATCTAATCTACAGAAAGTTAACAGACTAAAATGAGAGAAACTTGGTACTGAAACAAGAGCTTTTCTACATGTTAGATATGAACTCAGACAAGTAAAACTTATACATATTTGCAAAATGAGAATAATATTACAGATGTAGTAAATATTAAAACACCTAAGTCCAAAATATGTTACTTTCATTTTCTTCTAAACAATCTTACTTTTTAAAAATTTGAAATTCTTTTCATTACTATTCATTCATAGGATATAAATTTAGACTTCCCAAGGGGAAAGTCCAATTAAAAGTCGAAGGAGGTGGGGGATGTGAGCTAGACTTTTCATGAATATTATCAAACACTGGGGGTAAATATGATTTTATGGAAAAGGCTAAACCGTGGATAGCACTATTAAAAATAATTTTTCATTATGAAACAAGATACTATATTGAAAAGTACAAAAGAAAAAAGAAAAATTACAATACCATCATGCAGAAATAATTGACATTTACTATATTTCCACTCAGTTTATATTCTAGGCTTTTTAAAAAATTAAGATCACCTGGTTCTTTGAAAAGAAATTGATAACTCTCTAGCTAGATATATTAGGGAAAAACTCAAATTTTTAATATCAGAAAAAAATGAACCATCACTAATGATTCTGCAGATTTAAAATAAAGAAAAATTGTGAATAATTCATAAAATCTCTTACAAATTTAATAAATTTTAGGTGAAATGGCCTAATTCCTCAACAGGTATAAGTTACCAAAAGTATAAACAGAAAAACTCAAAAGACCCTCATCTATTAAAGTAATTAAGTCAATAATTAAATACTTTCTAAACCAAAAGCACCAGCTCAGATGTTTCCCTATAATCTCTTCCATAAAACAAAAAGCAGAGGAATTATTACCTTACTTTTCTATGATTCCATCATTACCTGTGGAAAATTCCATCATTACATCTCACCCAAGAAGATATACCAATGGCAAATATGTATGTAGAAAAAAAACTTAATACTAAAGAGATCAATAGGGCGTTATAAAATAAGACAACAACATACTACTACATCCCTATTATACAGGTTAAGTTAAAATTCAAATCAATGACAACGTCAAATGCTAGTGGAGATGTGGAACAATAGGAAACTTCATTCACTGCTGGTGGGAATTTAAATAACACAGCTGTTTTTCAAGATACTCTGGCAGTTTCTAACAAACCTAAACATGGTCTCTCTACAATCTCACAATGATGCTCCTAGGAATTTACCAAAAATGAGTTAAAAATTTTTGTCTCTCATAAAATACTTGTTGCCTGTATTCTTCATAATTGCCATCTGACTATAGTGAGATGAAATCTTAGTTTTGATTTGCATTTCTCTAATTGCTAGAGATGTTGAATACTTTTCATATATTTGTTGATCAATTGTATTTCTTCTTCTGTGAAGTGTCTGTTCAGTTCCTTAGTCCATTTATTGATTGGGTCATTTGATTTTTTGGTTTTAAGTTTTTTGAGTTCTTTATATAGCCTAGAGATTAATGCTTTATCGGAGGTACATGTGGTAAAGATTTTCTCCCAATCTGTAGGCTCTCCCTTCACATTATTGTTTCCTCTGGTAAGAAGAAGCTTTTTAGTTGGGATCCATCCCATTTATTAATTCTTGATTCTACTTCTTGTGCTTTAGGAGTCTTGTTAAGGAAGTCAGATCGTAGGCCAACAAGGTGAAGAGTTGGGCCTCTTTTTTCTTCTATTAGGAGCAGGGTCTCTGTTCTAGTGCCTAAGTCTTTGATCCACTATGAGTTCATTTTTGTGCAGGGTGAGAGACCGAGATTTAATTTCATTTTGCTACATATGAATTTCCAGTTTTACCAGTACCATTTGTTGAATAGGCTATCTTTTCTCCAGTGAATGTTTTTGGCACCCTTGACTGGTATGAGGTAACCATATTTATGTGGGTTTTTCTCTGTATCCTCTATTCTGTACCATTGGTCGACAAGTCTATTTTGGTGCCAATATCATGCCATTTTTGTTATTATACCTCTGCAAATTGGTGAAAGCACTATGGAAAGCAGTATGGAGATTCCTCAGAAAACTGGAAATGGAACCACCATTTAACCCAGCTATGCCAAAGGACTTAAAATCAGCGTACAATAGTGATGCAGCCATGTCAATTTTTATTTCAGCTCAATTCACAGTAGCTAAACTATGGAACCAACCTAGGTGTCCCTCAATAGATAAATGGATAAAGAAAATGTGGTATATACTCAATGGAATATTACTCAGCTTTAAAGAACAGTAAAATTATGGCATTTGCCAGTAAATGGCTGGAGTTGGAAAATATCATGCTAAGTGAAATAAGCCAATCCCACAAAACCAAAGGCTGAATGTTTTCTCTACTATGCAGATACTAATTCACAATAAGGCAGGGGCAGGCACTAGGGAAGAACAGTGTTACCTTAGATTAGGTAGAGAGAAGTGATGGGAAGAAAGTAGAATGAAACAGACACTATTACTGTATTATATATGTGACGACATGACCAATATGATTCTGCAACATGTATACTC